GCTGTTTTTCTGTTGCTTTTTCCTAACGATTTGTCTTTATTTTAGTTTTAATTCTAGTTTGGTCTTGGGAGACTGTCTGTGTAGCTTTCATTCACTCCACCGCCATTTTGGAATTTTCGGATTATTTGTTTTCAAAAAATGAAAAATAATTTCTTTCATTTGGTTCTTGAAACAAACTGAAATCTTAAAGACTAGTACTATGCTTAGTTTACACGTGAGAATGCTAAGGCTCAGAAAGATTAAGTGCCTTGCTTTAGGTCACACAGCTAATTTGTACACAAATATTTAACCTATACAGAAGTAAAGAATATTAGAAGGAACTCTCACCCAGCTTCAGCTATTATTAATTTGTGGCAATTTTAAATTTATCTACCACCCCTCCCCCACCTCTCTATCGCACCCACCCTCACTGCCCCCTACCTTTTTTTTTTAATCCTCATCCGAGGATATTTTTACATTGATTTTTACTTTTTTATTTTTTATTGTTAAAAGTATTACAGATATCCCACTCCCCTTTTTCCCCACTGCTCCCTTCCTCCCCAGTCCCACCCACCTCCCACTTTCCCCCCAGAATGTCTGTGTCCACTGTTGTTTTCCATTGATTTTTAGATAGTGTGGGAAGGAGGGAAGGAGGGGAGAGACAGAGAGAGAAACATTGATATGAGACAGAGACATCAGTTGGTTGCCTCCTGCATGACCCCGACCAGGGCCTGGGGATCGAACTTGCAGCTGAGGTACATGCCCTTGACCAGGAATCGAACCCATGACTCTTCAATCTGAGGGCCAATGCTCTAACTGCTGAGTCAGACCAGCCAGGACTACCCCCTACCTTTTAATTATTTCATTAAAATTTTTGCTATTACCCAACTGTGCCTCATAGAAACTCTGGCAGTTTGTACCAGCAGCATGTGAAAATGCGTTTTCTTGTACTCGAATCAGTGTGTGGTTAAATATTTTATTCTTGTGAATCAGGTTGAAAATGGTATTTCATTTCGGTCTTGAATGGCATTTCTTGTTTCATAATTGAGGTTCACCATCTTTTCAGATGTTTAAGGGTAATCTGTATTTCCTTAACTGTGAAGTGTCACTGCATATTTTTGGTCTTTTTCTTCCTGATTTGTAGAGATTCTTTTCATATCAAATAAATTAGCCATTGGTCTGTAATATGAGTTGATAATAATTTTTCCCAGTTATTTTTCTTTTGATTTTAAATTTGCTTATGGTGGTATTTTGTTTGTTTTTCCCATTTAGATTTTTAAAACATTTTAATCATCAGTCTTTTATGACTTCTAGATTTTGTGTAATACTTCAAAAATCCTTTTCACTTTGAGATTATAAAAATATTCTTCTGGTTCTGGCCGGTTTGGCTCAGTGGTTGGAGCATTGGCCTGTGGTCCAGAGAGACCCGGGTTCTGTTCCCGCTAGGGGCATGTACCTCAGTTGCAGTTTATCCCCGGCCCTGGTTGGGTCGTGTGGGTGGCAGCCACTCAATGTGTCCCTTTCACGTCGATGTTCTCTATCTCTCTCTCTATCCCTCCCACTCTATCTGAACAAAAAATGGAAAAAATGTCCGTGGGTGAGGAGATATATATATACACATATATACATATATATATACATATATATATACATATATATATGTATATATATATTCTTCTGTGTTTTTTTTTTTTTTAGTTCCTCTATAGTTTCTTCTTCTTCTTTTTTTTTTTTTAATGTCAAAATCTCTGATCCATCTGGACTTTATTTTGATGTAAGTAGTGAGATTCAGTACCAGCTGTCGCAGCACTGTTTATTGAACAACCTGTCTTTTCTGCAGTAATTTAATGTGCCACTTTTGTCATATACTAAATTCCAGTGTGTATTTAATTCTGTTTCTGAACTTATTTATTTAATTGGCATCTGCCTATTCATATATCAGTGCCATTGTTTTAGGTATTGTAGCTTTATAATATGTGTTAATACTTTAGAGAACTAAGCCCCTACCCCCCGTTACACATGTAGGCAAGACTTCATCTTTAGAATTTTTATGGCTGTTCTATAGTTTTTCTTATGACTTTTAGAATGAATTTATTTAGTTTTCAAAAACGTCACAATGGTTTTTTGATTGGAATTGAGTAAAATTTTTGGATTTGCATGAAGAGAATTGCCATCTGTTGTGTTTTACTGACTCAGCTGAGATAGAATAGAAATATAAATTCTTGCATTTATGTTGGGGAAACATCAATTGCACAAGATGTAGTTATTTATTAAATATCTAATTCAGTCTGTGTGCCAGACCGTGTATCATTTCCTAGGAGGAAAGCAAATAAATTAATCGTAGGTAGTCCCTAGGCTGTTATCCATTGAGCTCAAGCCTGGCATCACATCACGTAAAGAAACTTTAGCTTCCGCTGGCCTCAGTCTCCTGTTAGCCAGCAGGGCCAAGTGCTTGTTTCAGTATTATTACCATCTGGAGTGGCATTAGAGGATGTACAGAGAGGGTGACTAGAATGTAATGAGTGAGTGGTTCAGGCTCTAGAAGCAGACAGCAGGGGTGCCCATTGACCTTGGCAGGTTATTTAATCTCTTAGGACCTCAGTTTCTTAACTATGAAGTGAGGGGGTGCTAATTGTACATAACTCATGGGGTTGTGTGTGAAGCTTAAGTGAGAGGATTTAAAATGCTTTTGTACTTTGCCTAGTACATACTGGTGTCCTATAAATGTTAACTAATATCACTTATACTGGAAATCTGAATCCGCTGGTCTGTCTGATGGTATCAGATTTATTATGTGCAGTTCCTGATATCATTACAGTCGGCCCTCGTTTATTGCAGTTAATCAGTTCCAGACTCTACCGGGGTAAATGAATTTCCGCAAAGTAGGATTTTTTGTTTGTTTGTTTGTTTTCCTCACCCGAGGACATTTTTCCATTTTTTGCACAGACAGAGTGGGAGGGAGAGAGAGGAAGAGAGAGAGAGGGAAACATCGATGTGAAAGGGACACATCGAGTGGCTGCGACCCACACGACCAACCAGGGCCGGGGACAAACTGCAACCAAGGTACATGCCCCTAGCGGGAACCGAACCCGGGTCTCTCCGGACCGCAGGCGGACGCTCTAACCGCTGAGCCAAATCGGCCAGGGCGGATTTTTTTTTTAATTCTCACCCAAAGACATTTTTCCATTTTTGTTCAGATAGAGTGGGAGGGGGAGCGAGGAAGAGAGAGAGAGAAACACTGATGTGAAAGGGACACATTGACTGGTTGCCACCCATACGACCCAACCAGGGCCAGAGACAAACTGCAACCAAGGTACATGCCCTTAGCAGGAATCGAACCTGGGTCTCTGGACTGCAGGCCAATGCTCTAACCGCTGAGCCAAACCGGCCAGGGCTAGGATTTTTTTATACAGTTGTCCCTGGCTACTTCGCACTTTGAGGGTCGCGGCGGCTTCACTCTATCGAGGTTTTAGTGAAGCCGTGACCGACCGTCAAAGCGCTAAGTGGTGAGGGACGACTGTATTCAGGAGCCGGCAGTAGAAAAAGATCTCTACAGGAGGGCAGCCAGGTGGTAAGAGGGTAGCCTAGAAACATTAAAGAAATAGTAGGCCTTTTTACTGGAAAAGGCAAGGTGAATGAGAAACAGCATGTCCAGATACTTATTTTGTATTGCCTGGGGGTGGGGTGGGGTGGGGTGGGGTGAGGGACAGGATCAGCTTGTGAAATTTAGCTTAATAACAACAAAAAAAAGTTCTGGCCCTGGTCAGTTTTGCTCAGTGGTTGGAGCATCGGCCTGCGGTCCAGAGAGTCCCGGGTTCGGTTCCCGCTAAGGGCACGTATCTCGGTTGCCGTTTGTCCCCGGCCCTGGTTGGGGTAGTGCGGGAGGCAGCCACTCAATGTATCCCTTTAACATCGATGTTTCTTTCTCTCTCTTCCTCTCTCCCCCTCCCACTCTACCTAAACAAAAATGGAAAAATGTCCTCGGGTGAGGATTAAAAAAAAAAAAAATTCTGGAAGGTATGTCTGTTCAGCAGTGGAAATACTCTGCAGTGAGCTGTCTGTCAGAAGAAGTGTTCAGGGAGAATTTGGGTAGGCATTTGTTAAACTGCAGAAAGAATTTCTGAATTATGAAAATGAGGCTAAATGGCAAACAACTAAGGTGTTTTCCTACAAAATTCTAGTATAAATGTACATAGATACAATCTCATATGTAAAAAATTCTCTGCATATGGCATATTCATTTTGTCTTTTTTTTTAATGAGAGTACTGTGGGATCCTTGTGAACATGCGTGACCATCAAAGAAATGAAGGTATGGAGAAATAAGGAGACTCGAGGACAGCTTATTTCATGCTGTCTGTCTCTTGTTACCTTGGAGACAAGTCTCCTATCTTCGGAGCCCCATCCTTTTCATTCTAGAGTATTAATTTTTGCTCCCTACTTTGAGCGTGAGTGTTTAAAAGAATAAGCACATTATTAGAAGTTTTCTGCCTCTTGGTGTGTGTGGAACTGTTTGAAGGAAGGTGCTATTTGGCTCCTAGCAGACAAATGCGAAATTTAAACAAAAGTATATGACCCTATAAAGTCGGCCTTGCTCCATTTAGCACCAATACACTTCCCTGTTATCCTTATTTTTCCTGCTGCTTTTTCATTTCAGTAAGTGTAACCACGGTATGTTAGAAAAATTTAATAAAAGGGGGACATCTGTAATACTTTCAACAATATAAATAAATAAATAAATAAATAAATAAATAAATAAATAAATAAAATGAAAAATTTAATAAACTTATATAAGGGGAAATATTTAATAACCTATTTATTTCAGATCCATCTCCTGATTTTCTTCTGGCAGGCATTATTGACGTGACTTAATTTCCAGAATTATGTTCTGTAAAACTTTTTTTGCTGTCATGGATAAGTGCCTGGTCACACAGGGTTTTGTGTTATCACATTGGGGGGAAACCTAGTAAATGTGAACATGAGTCTTAGTTGATCTCTAAAATACGATTTCTTTGTTTTTTAGTGAATGAAGAACCTGCTGGAGCCACTGATCCTGAAGAACCTTCTGTTGGTGTAACATCCCCACCTGCCGCAGCATCAAGTGTTACCCTGAACCCTACTGCATTGTCTCTCCCCGTCCCAACCACGTCAGCAGAGGGAGAGGAGCCCAGCACCTCGGGCACACAGCAGCTCCCGGCCGCTGCTCAGGTCCCCGATGCTCTGCCTGCTGGGTGAGTAGCCTTCTGTCCCACCTCAGCGCTCTCCACCCCTCCAAAGACTGAGGCCCCTTCACCAGGGCAGAAACATCATGGTTATTTATTACCTGATGGCTAGGAGTTTCTGGGAGGCTGCTGTGCTTAGGACCGAGAGAGTTGTGGGAGAACTGCTCATTCTACATTACTCTTAAAGAGAATCTAAATCATCTGGGGCAGAATCAATGCTACCTTATACTATGACTAGAAATGAACAACTTGACCCCAAGAGTGTGGCTTTTTAGAACAAGAAGCTTATTTTGCCTTCCCAAATCACTGGAGGGTGTTTGCCTAGATCCTGCCTACAAAACAGCTTTTCTCTCTTGAATTCTATTTTAACAGCCTTTGGAGGACTTTAGCCTCTGAATATTACTGTATGCTATTCCTGTAACTGGTGCTGATATTAACATGGGCTACTAGTTTCCTTGCCATCCTTTAGTTCAGAAATAAATCTGATGGTGAAGACTTTGGATGCTAAGAAGGTGGCCCTAATTAGCCAAAAGGAAGTTCAATTTTGGCTACATAGTGTGTGGAGATTAAAAGCATGGATCCAGGAATCAAATAGATCTGCCTTTGAATCCCTACTTGACCCTATTTGACCTTGCCCAAGTGTCCTGGTAAGGTGGAGAAAATAATCATGCCTCTCTCCCCCGGAAGTTAAGAGACTCCAATAAGACAGCATATGTGAAGCAGTCACCTGGTGAGTGATATTTTTGAAGTGGTTGTGAAAGAATTATCAAGGTAGGGAATGGTTCTGAACTAGAAAATGAAGCCTTCTCTCAGGGCTACCAGACATAGCAGGGTAAGCCTCACTGTGGTCCCGCTCTCCATCCCAGTTATCAGCTTGGTACTGAGGAAACCAATGTCCATGTTGCCACAGTCACCTCGGTCTTCTAGTCGTGGTAGTGGTGTGTGGGCGGGTCCTCTGAGCCCTGTAACTCACAGGGAAGGTGGTCTCTTCCTTTGTGTATAATATGCCGTGTTGTTTTTAAGCTACTTTAGAAAACCCAATTGTTAAAACAAAAATTCTAAAATCTGCAGGCACGTGTGACTTTTTACCACATACATACTGCATGCTTACCATTTGGCACCCTGCCTAACTCATATTTCTTAATAAAGTGTGATGAACAAATGAAAAGTATTGCAAATAGTTCTTAATTCCTCAAGCCTGTAGTAAATTGGGGGTATTGAGAGGTGACTCTGAGAAGTTTTTGGTGAAGTTTTTGATTTTGTGAAAAGATTAATAACCAATTGCTGTGTCCAATTCCTGCCTTCTAAAATTTCTTTCTCTTTGTATGTGGTAAGGACTACTCGAAAGACCTTTGTTTGGTTTATAATTTCAAATCTGTATATAATTTGGGGGGAACAGAGCAGAATCATTTTGGCAGAAAGGAGAGAAAATGGTGCTGCCTGTGTCCCCTGTGAGCTGTTTGTTTTTTTTCTGCTGAGCAAATGCCTGGAAGGCCGGCTTCACTCCTGTGTCAGTCACAGGCAATTAGGGCTAATGGCTCAACGTGTCTTTATTTAGGGCGTGTGTGAGGGTTACTGTTCTCTGGGATTGGGCTTTTCCTGTTTCCAGGCAGCTGGAAAACTCCAGGCTCTGAAAACGCTCTTTATTCTAAGTTTGGCGGATGGAGTGGCCCAGGGAAGCGGTTCCCCTCCCTCACCCCGCCAGAGGCTGCAGCACTTTACTGAGGTAGAGTTTGGACAGCATCTTTTCCTTAGAGTGTTTAGAACATGACAAGGCCTGTGTGTCACTCTGGGGAGCGTGCTGCCTACCTTCACACATGTGCAGGCCCAGAAAAGGGTATTGGGACCCCGTCTTCCATCCTGAGGTGTCCTTCCCTACGACATCAGGGAGGCCTGGAGACCCTGAGCTGCCTCACTGGAGACCAGCACTGAGCATGGCAGGCTTTCAGTTCTTTGCTCTGTGGAAGCCAGAGAGGGCACATGTCCCTTATGATTCGGAGACCTCCCGTCCCCACCAGCTCATTTACAAGTTTAGGAGATCCAGATGAGATGAGTTATTCCTTTATTCCTGGTAGCATGGCTTCAGGAGTCAGGGGCCAGTTTTAACCTTTATAGATAAAACTTGGTGCCTGACATGCCACCACTTAGAATGCTGCATTGGCTTCCTATTGTCTTAAGGCGGCAATTTTCAACTGTGTGCCACAAGAAAGTTTTTGTTGTTGTTGTTCATAGTTTTATTATTTATTCATTTTTAATTGATTTTAGAGAGCGAGGAAGGAGAAACATTGATATGTTGTTCCCCTTATTTATGCATTCATTAAAAAATGACAGCAGCCAACACAATAATAACCATCCTGTGTGAGTGAATCAAAATTACACCATTTGTTTTTGTCAGATTGGCAAAAATATTTTTTCGTGTGCTGCAGAATTTAATTAGTTTATGTGTGCCATGAGATGAAAAGGTTGAAAATTGCTGTCTTAAGAGATACATTTTCAAATCCTTAACCTGTTAACCGAGCGGGACGTATAAATACGTCAAACGTTGCATACATTGAGATACAAGACTTGCTAATTACGTCCCGCTCGGTTAACAGGTTAATATGCCTAAAAAGCCCTGCATGATAGGACCCCACCAACCACTAAAGCCTTCCACGGAAGACACTCTGCTTTGCTCTCCAAGCTCCAGCCATAACTTATTTCGGTTTGACGAATGTACCACTCTTTCTCTGTATTTGGGACCATCAGCCATGTTGATTGCTGTTTCTGTTTTTGTTTTTTTTTTATCCTCACCGGAGGACATTTTTCGATATTTTGTTCAGATAGAGTGAGAGGGAGAGAGAGAGAGAGAAACATCGACGTGAAAGTGACACATTGAGTGGTTGCCACCCACACGACCCAACCAGGGCTGGGGACAAACTGCAACCAAGGTACGTGCCCTTAGCGGGAACCGAACCCGGGTCTCTCCGGACCGCAGGCCGACGCTCTAACCGCTGAGCCAAACCGGCCAGGGCTGATTGCTGTTTCTGAAATCTTTTTCACTACTTTGTCCATTAATTTCTATCTATTTTCAGGTCTCAGCACCATTTTCAGAGCCAGCACTTCCTCTGAGAATTCTTCCTTGCTCCCTTGTAGACAAGCTCAAACTTCTCTGACTACTGTAACTCTGCTCACATGTGTAATTGCTTGTTTCACGTCTCTCTGCCCTGCTGGCTGTAAATGCCAAGATGGCTGGGAGCCTGGCACAAAGTAGGCCCCCAAGATACATTTGTAATAAATTTATTTATTTATTTATTATTTTTTATCCTCACCCAAGGACATTTTTCCATATTTTGTTCAGATAAAGTGGGAGGGAGAGAGAGAGAAACATCGACCTGAAAGGGACACATCAAGTGGTTGCCACCTGCACGACCCAACCAGGGCCGGGGACAAACTGCGACCAAGGTACGTGCCCTTAGCGGAAACCGAACCCGGGTCTCTCTGGACCGTAGGCCGACGCTCTAACCGCTGAGCCAAACCGGGCAGGGCTGTAATAAATAAATTTAAATGCCATCCTTTTTTCCTTCAGTTGAAAGAGTGTTTTCTTCTTTCATACCTCAAATAAAGAGCAACTTTGATACCTCAAATAAAGAGCAATTTTCCTCCCAAGAGCAAGAGCTTAAGGCATCATTCACTGTGTTGACTAGCTTTGGGTTTAAGTATGAGTCTTTCACAGGGTCAGAATGTCCTTCCCTGCTCACTAGAGGTCCTCATGCACTGGGAGATACTGTGGAGCATGTCTCCTCTTTGCTAAAGCATCACTGAAGCACGCTGAGTGCTTTTTCAAGGCATCCAGCTGGCTTGGTCTCTTTCCTACTTTATCTTCTAAACTTCTTCAGTCTCCTTCACTGAGAGATTGAGGTTCACTTGGGGATCCCAAGGGCTTATTTTTCCAGTTGCTGTGTTGCCTTTCTGAAACTTGCAGCAGATGATACTGCCCATAAAGAGGTTACACATGTCTGTATGTTGTTGTTGTTTTTTTAAATCCTCACCCAAGGACATTTTTCCATTTTTTGTTCAGATAGAGTGGGAGGGAGAGAGAGAAAGAGAGAGAGAGAGAAACATCGACGTGAAAGGGACACATCGAGTGGCTGCCACCCGCATGACCAACCAGGGCCAGGGACAAACTGCAACCAAGGTACATGCCCTTAGTGGGAACCGGATCTGGGTCTCTGGACCGCAGGCCGATGCTCTAACCGCTGAGCCAAACTGGCCAGGGCTGTATGTTATTTTTTAATCCTCACCCGAGGACATGTTTTTATTGATTTTAGAGAGAGGAAGGGGAATAGAAAGAGAGAGCAAGAGAAACATCAAATGTTTGCCTCCTGTGCGCACCTTGACTAGGTTTCAAAACTGCAACCTAGGTATATGCCCTGATCCAGAATCGAATCTGCAGTCTTTTGGTGCACAGAATGACACTCTAACCAATTGAGGCACTTGGCCAGTGCCATGTCTTCATGTTTTAAGGACTGAAGACTACCGAAAGCTGGGTGATGTAAGTCTAAATAGAACACCCCTAATCCCTTTTCTCCCTGTCTCCAAACCCTCCTGCTTTCTCTACTTATAAATTCAATTAGTGTGAATCAAGCCAACTGGAAGGGTGTCTTCGTTTTCGGCTTGCAAATGTCCGTTAATGGAGCAGTGCCAGGGAGGCTCAGGAGACATGGTGAGATAGTGGTCCAGGCGGCGGGCAGTGGGGAGTGAGACCACTTTGATCAGCTGGCCCTGCATCTGTTTTTTATCAGCACTGAGCCCACTTTGGGGATTGGATACTCATTAACAGACCCTGTGTACATGGCTTAGATAAACTCCAAACGTGTCCCAGGCTTTGCAGCTCACTCATTGCCTCGCACACAGAGGCACATTATTTCACCCTGGCAGCCTGCGCTCTGCTGTGGTTTCTTATATAAGGGAGACCGTTGTGTTTGGACTGCCGACTTACCTCAGCACTGCCATTTCACACCATCCCTTTC